CCACAGGATCGCTTGTAGGTTTAACCTCATGATTTAATTCTTCTGTCCCATGCCATACTCATCCATGGACTACATGGTTAAAGGGGATAGCTGACCATCCCTGCCATACATCGTATTGAATAAATGGGTATGGTGTGCTTTTAAAAATAGGGTTTCGTGGTCACCCATTGCACTGCCCAGATGTTGTTCCTCCAGACTATCAATCGCATTTTTCACCCCTTTTCTTCTAGTGGAGTTTCAGAGTCCTTACCACTTTCCAGTTCCAAGTTGCTGGGGTGGTGGACCATGGAGGCATCCTCCTGAATGGGTTAATGAAATACAAATACAAGCATTCAGTTGAGAGTAGAATGGTGGTGTTCTACTGGTGTAGATGATGTGATATCCTCCATTATGAAATATATATAAATGGGAGCGAGCCATCAAAATTGTAGTTCAACCCTTTGATTGGGATCCCTCATCCTACCCCCACATGGATGTCAGTTCCCAGTGGCTGGGTTTTGGATTTAGAATGAACCAAACAACATAAGTCCTCACATATGTATCACAGATGTCTATATTCCTCTCTCAATTATACTCTTGTTACTCCATCCATGTTGTGGGTCATGGTGGAGTTTCTTGCATATTATTATGGTTCTTCACCTTACTCTATCCCTTGATGCTTATTATTTCAAGGATGTTACTGTGCTTTCGACAGTTCTGTGGAATTTCACTTTTGAGGGAGATGGCTTACATTGTGCAGACATCTCCTCGATTCTGGATGCCAGGTTACTGGATCGATATATCTAGTTTGTTATATTAACATGTGCCCTGTTCATTTGTTCTTGATACCCTCTGGCCTCATGAACTGCAGATGAAAATGGTATGATCCTCTTTCCTAACCCCACATGGATGTTGGTTCTCTGTGGCTGGGTTTTGGATTGTAGTTCACTTACCAATGGTATGATCCTCATCTTATCCCGGCATGGATGTTGGTTCCCAACGGCATTGATTTTGGATATAGTTGACTTGCCATGTAAGGTCCGTCGTGCCCTAGCCACTCTATGCCTAGGACACATCCTTTTAATTTTCCACTTTTATAATATCTGTGATAGAGTTGCAAATATATTATGTGGTTCAGATCACTATCCAACCTTAGTTCTTTCAAACTTGGATGTGCTCCTCCATTTTTTGCCCTTATGTTGGACATATTTCTACAATGGGTGAAGAGTATACCTGGTTCAGAAGTGGTGTGGTTCTCCACATCAGATCTTAAAATCTGACTATCTCCTCTTAGAAAGTTTCCTTAGGTTGGTTTCAAAGGATTCTTCCTTTTTTCCCTCGCACTGGATTCTAGCTATTTATGTGAGAGAATGTAACGTAACATATCGGAAGTTGTAATTTTCCTTTACTCAGAATGTAATTCCAATAGGTATTTACCTCCTCTCACACTTCCCAGCCTTCCTCTTCACTGAAAACCAGTGCTTTTGTCTTCTGCCAAAACTTGAAGTGATAGTTTGGTAGAATTGAATAGCTGGAGTCACATGCATCATGAGAGTATGTTGCATTCTTATTGGTGGAGGGTTGAAGCATGATAATTTTCATGCCACAAGCCTTCCTCTCCATTGGAATCAATCGATTTAAATGGAGGGGAAAGCTTGTGCCATGCATAAAAGAATTTTTCATATAGAGGACAGCACTGAACAAGAATAGCTATTTCTGTGAGAATTAGGAAGTACCTATTAAAAATACATTTTCAGTATAGAAAAATTATAAAGTTAAATAACTGTGTAAAGAAGTCTTTTTTTTTAGTGAAGTATTATCTGTTATGAAAAACATAAAGCTTTAAAACTTGCTGATATTGAAAACCATTACAAATTAATTTATCTATTAAAAGAGTAAGGTTATACAAAAAAAGAAACTATTACAATGTAGCAAATAATGTTTCAATTGTGAAATTACCATTCCTTGAACTGTGTTTTACAGAATCACACTGTTGGGTGATGGAAAACCAAAAGTCTGAAAGTTCAATATGCATATTTCATCAAAATTTTAATCTGAACTTTATTGTTTACAAAAACATTGTCTAAGTCTAAATCATCTAGGCAAATTAACAAAAGTGTTTGCATGAAATTTAAATTATTAACAGTAATTCAAATGCCAGTATAACAAAAAGTAAATTTAAAATTTTGAGAATTAGTATAATGATTCACAAATAGAACTGCATGATGAAATAAATACAAATCAGCAACATTGGTAGAGTAATTTGCCCTTTAGGTGTGCTAGTTGGTTGCACATTGTTTCAGTTATTAATAATACAATAACTAAATGTAGTTTACATTGATCTTTGATATTTTCAAAAAAATCAGTCTATTAATAAATTAAAAACTAAACTAAGTTAAAAGTATCTTATTATTTAGAGTATTAGAACCAAAAGTTAGTAAAGATCAAGTATTCAAATCAGATATGCTTACCTCTGAAATACTGAAAGTATTTCATTGTTGAGTTTGAACACATGCTGTCAACAAAACATGACAAAAAATTTCAGAATTTTTTTATGCATTACAGAGCATGCATCACTTGCCCATAATTCTCCAACCTCCTACATGACATTGCACGTGTGTCAGAGGTTCTTAAATAAGCTGTTGACAGTCATGTTGTTAACTTTGATATGACACATTCTTTCTGATGTTGACATTTCCATCATTATCAGAATTTCTATACCTTTGGCAGGGGCCTTACAAATTTGGGTTGGATACAACTTTGTACAGAGCCATATCATAAGTATTTTCTCTCTTTAGACAATTCTTGTTGCAACCACTGTACTGTAAAGGAGCCGGCAAATTCTACCATACTGTGTTTTCGGAGCCGGAATTCGAATAGTTTCTGTAGGATACATCTGCTTACTGACTTATTGGATCAGCCCGCGAACTTTCTAGAGAGTCATAACATAAACATATTATAATAGTTCAGACAATTGTCGTTGAAACCATTATATTGTCAGCATGTTGGTAAATCCTACCCCCATAGTGTTTTCAAACCAGGAAAGTTCTAGGAATTGCACTGCATGAGCTTATTTGATATTGACAGTGTCAAACTAAGTAAGGAGCGGCGGTTCGTTGCTTTGTATTCGGCAGGTTTTTACTTCAGCCGCTAACAGTAGATGAACATAGGAAATAGGTGTGAAAAGATTAGAAGAAACTCAGGAATTTTACTTTAGAGCTTAGTGTTCCATACTCATAAAAGACAGAGACAATGCTATTCATTTTGTAAAATGAAACTAAAGTCTAAACTGTCGTAGAGGTAGAAACAACTGAACAGAAAAATATGCAACCAAATCCAAGATATTTCAACTGCATTGTAGTATCATATGATAGAAAACTGAAGTCTTAACTGTTTGTTTCAGAGGTTTCTTTCAAAATAAAGAAATAATAAATTGGTTTAATTAAATTTGGAATATAACTTGGTAACACATTGTGACATGCCGAGAAAGGTATTTAAAAAGTGTAGCTGTTGTTAAGTGGTTAAGCATGGATTTTCAGGTTAGATTTCATTCCATTTGTTATTTGGCCATGTTTTTGGTCTCTGTACCCTTTAGCAAACATCTTACAAGTAGGAACAGGAAGGAACTTGCATAGTTATTTATTCTCTCCTTTATAACCTCCCTGTATGTTAGGTTTAAGAATTCTGTTTGTCAACTGTGGTTATCCTTCAGGCTCAATGTTGTCAGGTTTTATGTATAGGCCAGATTCTTTACATTAAGTGTTTATGACTTGTAGGCAATAAATTCCAACATTAAACAAATAGCACACAGTCCACTTGTTTTAAAATAATATATTAAAACAAGTCAAAATATATACACAAATGTTTCTTACACTGTTGGTTATCACAGTTGTATCTAGCTTTAAATAATTGTCTCTTTTTCATCAAGTTCCACACAGCAGTGTTACTTTAGAACACAATTGATAAGATGAATTCATTCTTCTCTACTCTTTCGCTTTTAAAAATTACCACTATACACTCTTTATGACTAATCTCCCAATCACTCAGTCTAGATCTATCTATCTCTCAAATTAAATTTTTGACACATATTTATATCCCAACAGAGGCCTAGAATGTTCCACACACTATGAGATATTATGGTGCAATAATAGTAAATTAAAACAATGAGAAAAACTTAGGAGGTTCTAATAACATTACACAATAATATAACAATCACCAATTCATAACTAGTGAACTATCCAACGTATGATTCATAAACAGTTACATAAACAATCTTGCAATAAACTATCACTTAAAAAAAACAAACTAAATTTGACACACACACACACACTATAAAAACTAGCTAAAGCATAATGCTTGCATTAAATGTAAACGTAAAAACTCATGTATATCTAACAGATGGAATCTATATCTTGTGAATTTTTGAATAATTTTCCCAACACCCATTATTCACCATTTATTGTGTGTCTATATTTATATTGATTCTTCAAGTCAACACTTTTGAATGTCCTTTAACCTCTAAATTTGATTTGGGCAACTCAAGCATTTCTTTGTAGTTTTATGACTAGTTTCTTACTTGTTTAGAAATAAACAAGGTAACAGGATATTGCCAGCACCTTGGTGTTATCACTATTGTTATTTTTGTGAAATTATCCCCTTTACCATTTCAATTAATGTTATCTGTTCTTTACTTTTTATGGTACTGAGTATTTTCACCCATTTGAAATCAATGATGATTTATTTTGTAGTTTTTCCTTGATATGGTTATATGTAGCTTTGAAAACATGTCCTCTTTAAGTTCATACAATCTTGCATACATGACAAAACATCTTTCTACCGTATGATACTAAAATGCTTCCAGTGTTTTTTGTTGATAGATTTTGTACTTTGCAAATTATGATCTGCCATAATTTAGAGAAATGTGTGTTATTTACTGATTTTGTAACAGGTGAAAGACCAAAAATGTAGACTATATTCATGCTGCAAGTGATTTATGTATTGAAAACTTTTCTGCATTTTAGAAGGACTAGTGAAGCCACTTGCTGAGTACCAAAGATGAGAAGGTAGTGTTCTTGTTGGCCAACTCTTTAATGTGATTCTTCTAGCAACTTAAGAGTCATACATTAGGATGAACACAAAAGCAGTTTTAGAACAGTATGTACAATCAGCAGGTGCTTCCATTTTATAGATTTTATCTACTTCTGAACAATTTTGTACATAAACGTCAGCATTTAATAGCTGGGAAACTATTAGAATGACCACTGCCATGTGTATTGCAAAAAAAAAAAAGAAGCTATTAGCATAAGCTATTATGAAGAATTGTTAACTGTCTATTTAATGTTTTTCCCCTTAATTCAACACTTGATTTGTTTTTCAAATAAGTAGTAGTAATAACTCTACTTGTACTAAATCTCAAATGTAACATGCCCAGTTTTCAAAGAGTTTGACTCCAAGTTTCATAACAAATGTTTGATATTAGAAAGCTTGTTATCTTCAAAAAATATCCGTTACTCTTTGTGAGAAGTTTGTTGCTATACTTATGATTATACTGAATGTGAAATATCTTCATGCAGTTGAGCCAGTGAAAAAGCTGAGTATAGTAGACATTATTCATTACAAACTGGACCACTGAAATAGATGATTAGGGTATGCATTTGTCTGTGTGAGAAGGAGAAAGCTTGTAAAAGCTGAGTAGAGTACACATTTGATTTTCTGAGAAGAAAAAGTATTAAAATTGAAACTGAATTGAGTTTGGTAAACATTTTTATGAGAAGAAAAAATTATGTAGTACAGTGTAAGCCAATCAGTCAGGTGACCATGGTAGTATTTGTCTTTGTGAGAATAAAATAAAAAGCTTGTAACATAGTTCTGTGCTAGACTTTGAAAGCTGGAAAGTGTTGTCTCTACTCTTAACAATGATATACAAATAACAGTGTAGTAAAACTCATATAATGTAACTTGTACTTTGTTCCATCCTTGGGCACAAAAATTAATAGGTTTAACTTCTATATTTTATTTCTTATATTTAATTAACATCAAGAAATCAATAATTATTGCAAAAAAATATACTATTGTATTAAATTATTTTTTAATTAGGGAACACTATTATTTATACAGTTACAACATGTAAAGTTCCAACTTTTGAGCTATTTTTCTTCTTTACTGAATATAACTTATGTATTTGTATTTTTATTATTTTTTCAACTGTTTCATAACCAAAATACATTTTGCTTAACATAATTTGTATTTTGTGTTGGTATGAAGTAGAATTCATTTCTGAACTTAATTTATTATTTTTTCTTATGCTTATCAGGAGTTTTGAACCTTTCCTATTGAAAGAGTAAAATATTTGTTGTTAAAGTTTACACTGAAAACATGTTGAGCGAAAGTGTTATTTTCCTCAAACAGTGCTATTTCATCTCTACCACTTTAAGTGCTTTGTTATGACCATCAGAAACTTTTTATTTTAAAAGAAGTGATTATAATATTATCTTGTAAGTTTTAATTTGAGAATGAGCATGCATAGTCATAAAATTAACCAATTGTTCACTCAGTAAGCTGAATTTATGCTACCTAGTTACAAAGTTTTGAATTTCAATGCTTATCTTACCTAGTTATATATTATATGATTTTAAATTATCATCCTGCCTGGTTATACATTTTATGATTTTAAATTATTATCCTGCCTGGTTATACAATTTATGATTTTAAATTATTATCCTGCCTGGTTATACAGTTTATAATTTTTAGTTCATGTCTTGCTTCATTTCTTATCCTGCTTATTTTTACAGTTTGACTTTTACTGCTTATCCTGCCTAGATATACAGCTGCTAATTTTTAGTGCTTCCTCTACCTGGTTATACAGATTCTGACTTTCAGTGCTTTTCCTGTCTAGTTGTATAGTTTCTAATTTTCAGAATTTATTCTTTCTAGTTGTATCAATTTATGACTTGCAGTAATCATTTTGTCTAATTATACAGTTTCTAACTCTCAGTTCTTATGCTATCTATTCTAGTTATAGTTTCTGACTTTCAGCATCTATCCTGCATAGTTATACAATTTTTGACTTACAGTGCTTATAATATGTATTTGTACAATTTCTGACTTTCACTGCTTATTCTTTCTAATTGTACAGTTTATGACTCAGCTCATCCTACCTGTACATTATTTGACTTTCAGTGCTTGTTCTATCTAGTTATACAGTTTCTGATTTTCATTGCTTTTCCTATCTAGATATACAATTTCTTTCAGTTTTTATTCTATACAATTTCAGACTGTCAGTGCTTATCATATCTCATTATACAGTTTTTTACTTTCATTGCACATCCTACCTAGTTACACACTTTCTGACTTTCAGTACTTATCCTAATTTCAAATTTTCATTACCTATTTTAGTTATTCTATTACTGAATTAATTGCTGCATTTGAGTGTATTTTCTTTTTCATTATAAAAATATTCTGTTTCTTAGTATAAGTTTATGCTTATCATATTGTTTTTGAAATTTCAAAAGACAGGCCACTGTTCTTTACCTGACACTCCTCTACATGGTTAAGTCTTACCTGTGTATTTTATTTATGCTTGTGTAGACTATAACTTTAGTTTTGTAATCAAATTTAAATTGTTGCAGGCAACACCATGTTAATTTTTTGTAATAGTTAACACTAGGTAGATTTTCAGAGTATTTATAAATGGATGGAATATAATAATTGTGTTGATGTTTTTTTTTACATACATGGAATATCTACTAATGTAATATTCTAAACTGTTACCTAGAATTAGCTGAAATTGTTCCTGTTGTAGTCTGAGCTGAACTTGAAATTGGAGTCAGTGCAATGTGCACTTTTGTTTCTTCTAATTTTGGATTGAAGAATCTTCATTATAAGTAACAAATTAGTTTTTGATGATATTCATTAAGATATTCAGCTGTACCAAAACAGGATATCAAGATAAAGTATCATACAAACTATTATGCTGTTTTCTATTAAATGATACAAGGTTTATATAATGAACATGATCCTAAATTTGGGTGTTGATCAATAGGACTTTCATTCCACTCAAAAAGTTGTTCAAGATTAATCATATTAGATCAATCCAAACAGTCAAAGAATTGTTTAAAAACTGAAGTTTGATATAAAAGAAAATAAAAAAAATATGATTTTCTGTTTCTTTTACATCATTTTAGACATAATCAGTGTATCTGTTAGTCAATTTTTCCTTTTTTATCTAGAGATAACTGAGTTATTGTTGTGTCATTTAGTTTCTGTCTTTGTTTTTTGGTGTGTTTTTTTTTTCTTGTGCCCATGTTATTTGAGGACTGTTTGATGAAATATGATAAATGAGGGATTTATTTAGAATACATTTGTAAAGTGTGTAATATTTAGTCCATGTTCTGTTTATACGTAAATCCACGTTTGATGGGTTTAGTGACTTGTGAAAGTTAGATAGTTTTAGTAAGTACAGCTTGCAAATATCTGTCAATTTTGTAATGATGTAATGGTTCTATAAAATGTATAGTTAAAGTTTAAGGTTTTGAATAAGGAATCCGATAAAATACAATGCTTGAATCATGCAAGAACTTTTTATTTACAAACAGTATGTTCACTACATCACCAAAGAACACTGTGGTGATAAGGATAACTCTTTTTCTCTTTTGTGTTTATTTTAGTGGGCTTGATCTTCAAAGTACTTAAACCTAACTGCCAGTTTTCAGTGAAGAAGGGGTATTGTAGGAAAATAAAATATATTTTTGTCAAGTCTTGTGTCATAGTGAATTATTACATGGAACAATAGGTCACTATTCCATGTAATAACTCATCACAACACAGGGGATTATCCCATGTATTAACTCTCCTCAACATAAGGAATGCTTCTGTGTAATAATTCATCACAACACAGTGGATTATCCCATGTATTAACTCTCCTCAACATAAGAAACACTTCTATGTAATAACTCATCACAACACAGGGGATTATCCCATGTATTAACTCTCCTCAACATAAGGAACACTTCTGTGTAATAACTCATCACAACACAGGAGATTATCCCATGTATTAACTCTCCTCAACATAAGGAATGCTTCTGTGTAATAACTCATCACAACACAGGGGATTATCCCATGTATTAAGTCTCCTCAACGTAAGGAATAATTCTGTGTAATAACTCATCACAACACAGGGGATTATCCCATGTATTAAGTCTCCTCAACATAAGGAATGCTTCTGTGTAATAACTCATCACAACACGAGAGATTATCCCATGTAATAACTCACTTTGACATGGGACTTTATTCTGTGTTTTAGTGAGTTATTACATAGGATAATGTCTTATGTAAAGGTGAGTTATTACATAGGATAATGTCTTATGTAAAAGTGAGTTATTACATTGGATAATCCCCTGTTTTGTAATGAGTTATTACACAGAAGTGTTCCTCATGTTAAAGTGAGTTATTACATGGAATATTGACCTGGGTCGTAGTGAGTTTATACAGTAAAATGTCCTGTGGCTTGTGAGTTATCACATGATGATAGTGTTCTATGTTGTAGTGAGTTGTTTCACAAGATATTCCCATGTCTTAACAAGTTATTATACAGAAGTAATGTAGTGATTTATTATATAGGAATAGTGTTTTATGTTGCATTGAATTTACACAGGATAGTGACTCATGTTGCAATGAGTTATTACAGAGGATAATTCCCTGTGTCATAGTGAGCTACAACATAGGATAATGCCCCATGTTGTAGTGAGCTCTTACCCAGTATAGTCATAGTGTGTTATTATATGGAACAGTTCCCCATGTTATAATGAGTTATCACATAGATTTGTGACCTGTGTCATAGTAAGTTATTACATGCCATAGTGAGTCATACACAGGATAGTGCTCTATGTTGTAATGAGTTCTTGCACAGTACTGTTGACCTTATTTATCTACCAGAACTCACCCTGAAACAAAGTTATATTACTAAAATAATGCACATTCTTTGAACTTAAACATAAGTATCATTGATCACGCATTCAGTTTCAAAATGCTGAACTTTTGAGTTAAATTTTCCATTTCTTAATACGAATGTTTCAAATAAGTTAGCCTAGTTACTTCTATAGCATATAGATAGATACAAGGAAATCTGTTCAATATTTCACATCAACACTACTTTTAAAATACAAGGTTTTTAGCACCAAGTTGAATCTTTTTTTGGTAAATTGAACACAGTATTTAGTACTGCTTATAGAATTATAAATGTTTACCATGACCTTTTAAAAACTGTCTTCACTACGTGTAATTTTTCTAAACTATTTAATCTGAAACTTCAATATGTAAATTGTGAACGATTTTAGTATGCCAGGTGACCTTTTGTATTTTATATAACATCTCATTTGTGTTTGTTGATATTTAACTATTTACTAAACTATCGAGATTTGACTATTTGTTTATTACTTTATGCTGCATCTTTCTTGATTATAACTACATATTTGGGAAATATCACTTTGTAATAACTTGTTTTTCACAATACTCATAGTGACTTCTGTTAAGTCTCAATATTACAATATTATGTTACCTTGTTTAATTTTATCATAAGGTTTAGATTCTACAGTTTATTTGAACTGTGTATTATACATATATTTTTTACACATTTTTTTAACTTTTTGCATCTCATTAACAAAATTCTCAAGCTATTTGGACTGCAATTATAGGAAATTTGGAGAATTAGTTATGTAGAGCATGAATAATTCAAATTCGAACAAACAAGAGAAGAGGCTAGACACACCTATTTCTCTTTAAAATAAAAACATTTTATAACACCCAAAACAGTAATAAAAAAGATACACAATTTTTTGTCTATTTCCTTTTAAAGTAAAGACTTCTTTGTATACAACAGCAATACCTGAACAAGGTAATAACTTTTAAAATCCCACTGGAGGAAAACTTAATTGATGCTGAACAAGACTTAATTCTGCTTCAAACTATTCAAATTCAAGCTTTGCCAGAGCTTAATTTGCCATGTTACCCATGTCAGGAATCCAATTTCATTATCCAAAAGGGAGAAATGAGATTCCAGCATCTCTATTATTGTTTGTCTAAAATGTAAAATTCCAGGCAAAGTTAAAAATATATTCATTTTTCAAGATATGAAAAGGCTACAGTCATAATATTTGAAACCTACAGCTGCATCCATTCTGGCCTCTGGACCATCTCAGTATTGTATGCACACACACACACACTTCCATGACTCAGTTTTCATTTCTAACATTTCATTTTTACACGCGATACATTTTTAGATTTTTATTTATATATTCAGCTTTATAATATCTTATAAATTACATTTATTAGTTCACATTTTGTAAACAAGCTTTTAAATAAATCCCTTATGTTTAAAGTTAATTCAAGTGAAATAATAATAAATAATCGGTGTTATAATTAAGATAAGTAAATTATGTGTTATTAATCACTGCCCTAAAAATGTGATTTGTAAATAAAATGAAATAAAATTCATAATAATCACAATTCACTTATCAATCTACTAATTTTTACAATAACAAAAGTAGTCTACTAGCTATTCCATCTACATTAATCTCAGGCCTTAGAGTATGAACAAGCAAGTTTTTGTTCTGAAGCTCTGTACATCATGGGCCTTGCTAAGATCTTAAACCAATTGGAATAAACAACAACGTTACATTCTTTTGGGGCATGTCCAAGTACACTTGACTTCATGGGGGATGTTAGGATACACATTTTCTTTAATAGTTTTCTTTTAGAAGAACTAATACAGTCTTGCAGATTCGCAAGGACAAGTAGTTTATAAACTATATATGATTACTGTAAAGCAGGAATCTGTTCCTTACATTTGAAAGAAAACCAAAGGTGACAGATTTATAAACACACCTTAACTGTATCTGCGGGTGCATCCTTCAGTAACATTTTTCAAATGAGATCTTAATAATTACAAACTATTTACTCATGTATATTAAACAAATGATAATAAGACATTTAGAAACATCAAATATACATGGTGCATTAACATTTCACTAATTTAAATAATTACAAAGTATTCTATCAATGACAAAACTTGTAAAATCGTTTTTACATAAGTTGTATGATGTTATAGAATTCTTGTTGCTAAATGTCATAGGTGATAATGTTTATACTCTTTGGTGAAACAGTATTTTAACCAAATTTTCCTTCAAAATATATGGAATGAAACGTAACATTAAAATACAAGCCAGTAAACGTTTTCTTGTTGCAAATTTCAAAATTGAATTGACCATTATTATTACTAATAGGCCCCCAGTGGCACAGCGGCATGTCTGCGGATTTACAAATTCCAGGTTTCGATACACGTGGTGGGCATATCACAGATAGCCCATTGTGTAGTTTGTGTTTAATTACAAACATGTTTACATTATTACTAATTAATGTGTCCAGAAATGAAAGTTTGTGATCTTTCCTATGTTCCACATTGAACTTCACACTTTTGAAGAAATTGGAAAGCTTGGTCATTGTACCTAAAGATAGTAAAGGTGTTATTCACATACCTACGAGAGTAGAGTGGATTAAACATGTGGACAATTTTCTTGTCATTATGATGAGCAGTACTTTCACACTTCAACTGTTGTATTTCATGAGAAACTTCAAAGCATGGTTATAAGTTGGAGTATTAGAAACTATAGGTAAGAAAACATCCTTTCTTATGAATTTTAGGAAGTTCATAAAAAACACCTGTATGATGCCCTATGGTCTAATATTAAGATACTGCTTTTTATTAAGAATATTACCTTTCTACAGTTACAATAAATATGTTTGCATTTCAACTTCTCTTAAATATTAATCTTTAACTAAAACTACAATATTGTTTTCTTTGTCTGATTTGGAAGTGAACCGTCATTTTTGCAAAAATTCTTCTGAACTTAAGAAAATTTTTATATTCACAACTGTAATTATTAAAGGCAGTGAAAGCTGTGCTACTAATCCGAGTTCTAATGTTTCTACTAAAAGATTGACCACTGTTAGTCCAAATAGGTTGATGTGACTATAATTACAAAACTTTTCGAATTGTACAAAATAATCCTCAAACTTAAGCCTATTATGGATGCTGAATTTCAAACCATGAACTAAAACATTCTTTTCAACATCACTCAAAACATAACTTTGAATACCACTGTCAGGTTGTTCTATAAACAACTAAACGTCACATTCTCCTAAATAAAAAGAAGGCATGTTCAGGTACACTTGACATTATGGGAGACAAGCAGAAGTACCCGTGACGGGAAAAGTTTAAGTTAATCTATCAAATTAAATTGTTTCATGGACTTTAAAAAGATTAATTGTGTTACACTCTTGGTTTCACTCATAGTCAAAACTCTGAGCTACTTATACCGCACACCGAGAAAGTAATTCTTGCGCATTTCAGGCATGCTTAGTGCCGCTCAACAATAACATACGGTAAATCTACATTTTTATTCTTTAAGTTACGTCACATGTCAAAGTGCTAGTGTGATTAATTCCTAACAATTTAGTGTAGAATATCCTGCTTGCGAAATAAAATTTGGCATCAATATTATTCATGCCTGTTCTCCAGTCATTTCATAAGTGAATATTGAGCTTTGCCAGCGTGCACAGCTTTTCAAAGTTAGCGCGGGAAGCGGCTGCAATAAACGGGAGATAGACGAACGCTCGAATATGCTCAAGGTGCATATGGCCTGAAAGAGCTTTCTTCATGATTTTTCATTTGGAACACCTTTAAACATAAGTGTTTTTAA